TCACAAGCAAGGTTGGGGAAAGGCTTGTTTTGTTTATAAACTGGAAAATGAGCAGAGGACTACAGTTTTTTGAGGAGGTGAACAACCATTTAATAATCTTGGCAATGTGCAAAAGTCTAATTGTTTGGGGCTGAAGCCCTAAAACTCCTGACTTTCATTTTGCAAAGGCAAATGTAAGGAAGAGGAGCATTATAGAAGTCTGAAATCATGGTCTTGCTCTTCCCTCATTTCAGAATTGATTTTAAGCCAGTGAGGAGGTTTAATCTTTGGAAGACTTTCTGCTCTGTGTAGGAAAAGTAAGTGATGCTCCAGGGGAAAGTGGGAGGCACTCATGTAAGACTGGGTCATGTGGTTTGGTGTATCCAGGACTGAGAATTTTTGTCTTGTCTTTTAGTGCTGGATTTCTGGTGAGCTTGAAGGGTTATTTGCTGTCAAATATTCAAAGAGATCAGCCTGATTCTGCTCTCGCTGGCTTTAGTGTCTCTAGCTGGTCTAAAGGGCTGTCTCTGAGCAAAGGCAGTGGGAATTGCCCCTTAAAAATTGTCAGCCCTTAACCTTTGCATGTCTGTTTTGCTATCTGTAAGATAAGCATCACCCTACCCTACTGTTTGCATGTTTCTTTATATTATTTTCATGAAAGTTGAGACATAAATGCTAAAAATTACCGTGATTAGTAAATGGAAATTATTCAGTTATGAAAATTTGTGTCCAGCACATGTAGAGAGGCAGCCTGATTTCCATACCAGTGCTGAGGATTTGCAATTCTCTGATTCAGTTCCCATTAAACATGATGGAGCAATTCTGCTGGTTTCTTCTATCATGCTTTAGGAGTAGCAGAGGAAAAAGTTCATGGAAAAAATGCATGGTTCTGTTTCCCCTCTAGGAACTTGTCTTTTCCCTTTTGCATGCTGGTTTTCCTGTAAAAAAACTAGTTACCTTTCTGCATGGATTAGTAAGTGGCCTAACCTAATTTAAGCTGCTAGCCCAAGGCAAATGAATCATGGTGCAAAATAATCACTGCTTTTGTTCTACCCTCCCAGCTGGGAGGGAGGGTGACAGTGAATGATATTGTTATAATGAGATACAAGAAATGGAATGAAAACAAGCTGCAAATGAAGGCAATTTGCTGTCTCTGACAGTAATCAAATGACAGCCAGCTATGTGTGTTCCTGAGGCAGAAGGGAGGGAGGGCAAGGGAGTAAACGGCTCAGAAAGAGGCTCATTTTCTTGGGGTCATCAGGTCTACTCACTCATTCTAAGGAGGCTGAGTCCTTAATAGCTAGTGACTGCTAGCATCAGTTTTGACAGAGAATTGGTGGAGTTTGCTGTATTTGCTTCTGTAAAACACACATCTGTGTCTTCAGTTCTGGTGTTCGTGGTTTGTGCAGGAAGTCCTGCCTCTGAGCTGAGGTCAGAGCAGAATGGGCTGAGGAGAAGTGGAGGAGTTTCTGGTGGAGATATTGGAACATGGAAACCATGAGTTTCACTACAGTGTGGTGCCACAAAGTGGGGCTTACTTTGGGAAATCCAAAACCTGGGAAGCTCAGCCTGCTGGATTAGGCAGGACTTTCTCACTGAATCTTAGAATGCTTTGGGTTGAAATAGATCTTAAAGCTCATCTTGTTCACCCTCTGCCATGAGCAGGGACACTTCCTACCTGCCCCGGTTACTCTGAACCTTGTCCATCCTGCTCTTGAACACTTCCAGGGATGGGGCAGCCACAATTTCCCCTCTGACCCTAAGGAAGAGGAGGCTTTGCTGAAGTAAGACAGTGATGTGGTGCAGGTTGTAGAGAAGATCCAGAGTGCAGATGGTGCTCTTGCCTGGAGTCCCCTGAGGGCAGAGCAAGCTGTTTGTGGGGCCAAGCTGGGGCACTGTGTAGAGGAGAGGAATTACTGTGAGTGCTTCTTTCCTGTAAATTTTCACCAGCTTTCCTTTTCTCCTGTGCTGGTTGCAGGAAGGTGGAGTGCTCTCTTTGCATACTCCAGGGCAAGGAGGGAGGTAGCATTGGGAAAATGGACAAATCCCATCTATCCAGGGATTTGAACCCAAGAGTTTCTGGTTTCTAGTTGTGCTCTCAGAACAGCTGGTTTGACATTTGTGTGACTCTCATCTGTTTCACACTAGCATGACTTTACTGAGGGCAGCAGGGCAGCCAGAGAGGAAAATCCAGTCCAATGACTTTTTTTATGCTTCAGCTTCCTGACATGTTCCAATAAAATGGTCTTACCAGTCTTCTCTCACACAAATAAAATAATAGTATTTATATTAAACTACCATCGAACAAAGGACATAATTCAAAAACTCTGATTTAGGAAAATGGCTTGTGTGTTAATCATTCCATTTTCCTTATTCAGAACTTGCTTGCTCATAAAATATTGATTTATTGAGCAGGCAAGAATGCTCTTGGCAATGAAGACGTAAAGATGTAGTACTGATAAAAATACAGGCTTTTAAAAATGTTTTTGCAAAAGCTAAGCTTAGAAAGAGAGGGGGCAGAAACTATAAGGGTGGAGTCAAAAAAAAGTGGAATGAATAGTAGAAGAGAAAAGAGTAGAGTAAATGAAGAGGGAATGGAGAAGATTTAAAAAATGAAGAGCAAAATGGACAGGTAAATGCTGATCTTCAGAAATGGCAGGGGGGAAGCAATGTATTGGAAATAAACAACAAAAACTAGGACTTCTGAAAAGTAGAACCAGGAGAACAAGAATGTATGGAAGTATTGAGAGACCCTGGTTGTAAATATGAAATCAAAAAGGTACCCCTGCTTTCCCTGGTCAATGCCCTCTCTCCATTTGCCTAATGCAAGAAGCAACACTAAGATATGGAAAAGGGTCTATTGAGACTGTTACAAGAAAAAACCTACCTTGTGTGTGAGCCTCTAAAGGGCATTTCTGCTACCCATCTCTGAAGTGAATGCTTTTTCCAAAGACTGGCCATTTCAGAAGGTAGGCAGAACATCTTCAACAACAGAAAGAAAACTTGGTTGGGACAAATTGTGGGTGTGTTTCCCAGCTCAGCACAGTGGTCACAGGGTCAGGGCACGGTTATGCCTCTGAATGGCTCATCCCAGAGCTTCAAGAATTTCATGCCTTTGAGTGGAGTGGGCAGCTGCAGTGAGAGGCAGGAGGTGGAAGCACGTACATAATGATTGGTCCAGCCCAGTCTGGTCAGGCCTAGGCTTAAAATTTAGTCTGAGAGGGTGAATGTAAGGGAGATATTAAGTTAAGATTTGGGCATGGAGTTGTAGGGATACTGAATCCAAAAAAGGAATCAGAGTTGTAGGGATACTGAATCCAAAAAAGGAATCCCTGTAGGTCCTCTGTGGAGGCTGAAATGGTAAATAAGCCATAGAGTTGTTGTGGTGTCAGGGTTTGACACTGGCTAGAAGACAGGCACCCATGAAAAACCATTCCCTCATTCTCCTCTGCTATAGCTGAGCAGAGGTGGGGGAAAGACAAACTAAAAGCCTCATGTGGTGAGATAAGGATTAGGAGAAAACATTCTAAGGGTAAAACAGGCTAAAAACATAAAAGGTATAAGGAAAAATTTATTAACAGAATTAAAAGAGGATTATGAGAACCAAAATAAACCTTTAGAACACCTTTCTCTGCACCCCCAACCCTCCAGTCCTTCTTTCTTTCTCACTGACAGTGCCAGGAGACAAAACATGGGGGGTTTAGTCAGTTTGTCACTTTTTAAAAAAAATTCTTCAGCTTCATTAGGGAGAGCAGTCTCTTCTGTTATGTCATGGGGTTTTCCACACCAGAGACAGTTCTCTGTGAACTTCTTCAACATGGTTCTAATTTTTACGAGTCCTGCCCAACCCACTGCAGTGTGAGTGCCTCCCACAGGCAAAGCAGTCTTCCCACAACTGGGTTTTTTTCCATGGGTCTTTAGTTCCTGGGGTGTAGCCTTTTAAGGATGAGCTGTTCTAGTTTGGAAACAAGGCTCTTCTCTTTCTGTTCAAGTTTCTCACTAGGTTGCAGCTTTTCAGCATCCACACACTCTAGTGAAACTTTTCTCACGGGCTGTGGGTGAACTTCTACATCCCCCATGCACTTTATGAATCACAAGGAAAACCAGATTGTTATATTACAGTCCTCAGTCTTTCCTAGACACTCGTTACCTTTTGCATACAATGATAACTTCTCCCCTCAAAAAAGTGGTTTTGGATTAGTCATTGCATCACATGGCAAATCCCTCTCCTGGAGCTTCAACACCTTCAAGATACAGCACTGAGGAAAGCCTACAGTAGAAAATGGCTGTTAGGTGTTTGACCTCTCCACCAAGGAGAAGGGAGCCTTCAAAAATGGGTTCATGTTTATCTTGTAGCTGTTTCACAACCAGATCATTGCTTTTTTTTTATCTTTTAGACTTTGTGAACAGTAGGACTGGTGTGTGAGGACAATAGATCTTTAAAATAAGGGCATGTTTCTAACATCTGGCAAGAGAGCTATAAGTGGCTGTCTTAAAAGAGAGACCACAATGACCACGGCTTGCAGAAGAATTTTTTCATTCTTAATTATGTCATCACAGAGGTACTGCTAACTTTTCTAATTGGGCCAGCCAATATATCAATTGTCAGAGCCCTCTGGATTAGCTCTGCTGGACATAGTGGAAATTTTGAGGAACTTCTCCTTCAGAAGCAGCCTCTGTGGCTTCCTCTGCCCCACTAAAAGCCAGGTGGTGTTGAACTAACATGTGAGTACAGTCAACTTCTACCAGCCTGATGGATCTCATCATGAGTCACTGATTCCTGCCTCAAAAATGCAGGGAAAGTAAATGTTTTACTTCTGCCTACAGACTTTACCACAGAAGTGTTTGTGTGGGGCACCAAGGGTAAAAAAGATGTTTTATGTTGAGTCTTCTTCCTTTTCTTGCCTTCACATGCATGATCCTATAGCAACTTTATGCAGTTTAGAGACAAAAGCACTCATGTATCTTCTACTTATTGCTGTAAGGCCTCATGCAGAGGTGTTTTTGTTATTTAATCCCAGCAAAACAATTCCAGAGGAGACACTGAGCAGAGCCAAGCAGATGGGGTTCTCTGACAAGCAGATTGGGAAATGCCTGAGGCTGACTGAAGTCCAGTGCCGTGAGCTGAGACTGAGGAAGAATATAGTGCCCTGGGTGAAGCAGGTATGTGAGACACATCCCTGGGCCTGGTGGGGGCTTCCAAGAGTGGCTGGAGACCTCTGTGTCTTTAGAAACCCCTGGCTCTGTTAACATCCTCAGGAGTTCAGATGTTGATGTCAAGAGAACACAGTTCACCCATGTAGCTGCTCCTTCTGCACTGCAGGCAACAATCTAATGCCATGAACATTCCCAAAGAGGCACTCAGAATATTCTTGTTCAAATTCTTTGTGGCTTCAGGAAAAGGCTGAAAATGCTGACCCACCATGGTAGGACCATGGAGAGCGCATTTCTTCTCTCTTGGTAGTAAATTTTTACAAGCTAATAGTTTATTTGAAGTGTGCTATTGTTATGGCTTCGTTTGCTATACATTGTGATAGCGTGAGCCTAATGAGCTCATCTGATATTCATGGCAGTGTCAGTAGGTGCTTTTAAGGTATGTTGGTATTAAACTGCCACCAGCTGGTTTTCTGTCCTTAAAGATGGTAAAAAAAAACAAACCCAAACTACTGAATGTTTCTGAAAGAGTTCATTTGTATCCTCAGGCCTAGTTCGAGGTGCCAAGTCTTTTTCTGCTCTCCAGCTGCTGTTTTTCTTCTGTGGCTCACCTGGCCACAGAAACGTGCCTGGTCTTGCACTGTGCTCTTTCAGCTGCATATGGCACTGCAGTGCTGGATTGATTTTTGTGCCAAGGTTCACTTAATAAGGTCATTCTACTTATGCCTGCCTGTGTGCCTTCAAAGCATATGTTTCTTCTGGAGCCATGAAGTACAAGTCACAGTATTAGCAACAGTAATGAGCAGCAGACACATGGTGCTAATGATGTAAGGTCACATTCTCCACGATTCACAAGGGTTTGGACAGGCAGTTGGGATTCCTAGAAGTGCCTGAAGTTTGGACAGATTTTTAAATGGTATAGCACATCAAAATTCATGTCAAGACTACTTTCATATTGTTCCCTGTTCAGTATTCTCTGTAGAAATGTTTCAGATGTTCATTCAGGAAACTTCAGCAGTTGCTGGTGACCCAGATGGACTGGTTACCAAGTATAACATGCCATGAGTAGTTGACACAAATAGTTTGTGAACAGCCTCATGGGCAAAATATTCTTCTGGGCTCTCTTATGACTTATTAGATAAGAAATTGTTGAAAACTACATGTAAAGGGTGGCTTAAAATCACTCTTGCTTTGTGTACCATTTAATTATCAAAGCATGACTTCTAGTGTAACATAAACACATGGTAATTGTGCTGCCACTCCACATGATTTCTAAGTGATATTATGTGTGTGTTTGTATTCAGTGTGGGAGTCAGATGGGGTCAAGAGTAGAGTCTGAAGATTCCAGACAGTCTAGTTATAAAAGACAGAAAACCTGGAGGAGTCTTTGTAATCTGCTGCACAAACTAGTGAGTGAGGGCCTTGGCAAGTAGGGGAGAGTTCCTGGGCTGTGTAGGTGCTTCACCCAAGAGGTGCAGAGCTAAAACTGCAGCTTAAAAAGAGATGGTAGAGGGGTGTGTTGACTGAGCTGCAGGGTTGGGGCAAGGTCAGGCACATGCTGTGTCAACAGCACAGGGCAGTTCAGGTCACCTCCTTATGAGGAGATGACCTCATATGATGGGAAAATAATAGAGTGAAACAGCAGTAGAAAGGAAAAGAGGGAAAAGAACCCAAAAATCTACATGTAGGAAAGGTCTTGCACTGGCCAGGTCACAATCTTTGTTTGTTTCTTGTGCAGATTGACACCCTGTCAGCAGAATACCCAGCAGTGACCAATTACCTCTACATCACCTACAATGGCCAGGTAGGCACCCTCAGAAACAACAGTGTCATTGCTGTCTGCTTTGATCTCTTTTCCCTATTCCCTGTTATTTCTGGAAATCTTGCAGATGCCTCTGTCTCCATAGCAATTCTTTTGGATGGTTTTACATAAAATCCCCTTAGAGCAGGCCTGGAACTTTCTCTCGCTCCAATGCTGATCCAGTGCATTTACTGTTAATGCCCCTGTGTTGTTAAGAGCCTGTCACATATCACCTGTACCTGCACAGGTAGGTGCTGGGAATGCAGAAGTCCTATTTCCCTTATCTCATCCTAACATTATTTTTATATCAACTTCCCAGGTCCTTAGGCTGCTTGAATAGCCATATTAGAGGTGCTGTTTTTCTTCTGGTCTGGGTGCAGCGCTACTAATTCCAGGAGAGCTGCACTTGATTTACACCGCAGTGAGCAAGATCAGACTGGAGCCATGAAGGATCAGATTGTTGGATTTGGGCTGAACACCAGAAACTGCTTATTCTGAAAAGCACAAAGTTAGGTGCTGTGGAGTACAGATCCTAATGACTCTCTTGTCTCCCTTCCCAGGAACACGATGTAAAATTTGAGGACTGTGGAGTGATGGTGTTGGGCTGTGGACCATACCACATAGGTAAATCTTTCTTACAACTCCTCTGTTCTCCTTGTCCCCTCAAGCCTTCTTCAGATATTCTTGTGGTTCCTTTGTTTCTCTTCTCATATGGTGAAAAAACCCTCCAGAGCACAGTGCACAGGACATCAATTCCTAACAGAAGGTTTGTATTTTATACTTGGGGATTTAATTTCACACCCTGAAAAAAAAGCAGGAGGATTTTATTACTTTTCACTTGGTACTTAGTTGTGATTTCCACAAAATTTTACATAATTTTTTTTGATCTCACTTTTTTCATATGTTGAAGTCTTGAGAACATCATACCTTGTATAGAAGTTTGTTGCTCCCATACCTATCTTATATGTTTACTGCCAGCTCATGATGATATTGTCACTATGTATTTTACAGCTGTGAGTGTAGGTGATTCTGAAAATATTTTGATCTCTTCAGCTGCTTTTTGTGTAAGCAATTCTCTGTATGTTGTTTTTTCTTTCAACCCACTCAGATCATTATACAGAGCAACAGTTTCCTCGTGGCTGTGAGTATTGGGTAGACAGACTGCTGAATTCTCTACGTGATGACTTTCACTTTTTCTTTCCATGGATCTCTCCAAATAGCTTGCAATTATTGACAAGGAAAAAAAATGCTTGTTATTCAGAAATATGTCTGCTCTGCATCTCCTAGAAGTGGTGATGGGTTATGAAAGCTGGAATTGAAAACTACATCCATTTGCTTGGCTTGGATTGGAGAGGTCACATGCTGCACTCCTGTTACTGTTTGTAGGACATGTCTTTTTGAACTCTCTTTCCAGCATGAATGTTGAGATGACTGAAATCAGGAGCAGCACTCCATGATTAGGCTTATTTTTTGTGAATGATTCTGCTGTTCAGCAGGCTGTGTGGCATGGCTACAAAAAGGGAAAAGGATGGCAGTGGTATTTCACAAACTGATAGAATGTGTGTGAATACATTTTGCACTGTTCACCTAAACTCCTCATTGCTTAGAATAGACATGCATGTCTGTTCTTGCTCTCATCTGCTCTGCAGCTCTGATTAGATCCATCAAGACCATCTTTGGAAGAGATTGTAACTAAATAAAGGCTCCTAGAGGAAACCATTACTTGTAGCTGTAAAATATTATTTTCCTAGGTGCAATAGCCACGGGGTTTTTTTCACTTATTTTTAACCTTTGAAGGCAAGTAAGCAGTGTGCTTTTCCTCTATGCTTTCAGTATTGTAATCAGCATTCAGTGGGATCAACTCTTCCAGGTTAGAAGAGGCTAGATGATTTGGATGGAAGTTAAGCATGTGGCATTATCTTTCTTATTTCCATTGTGAAAGCTAAGTTTTAGGTTAAAAAGAAACAAAACAACCCTTATGAATTTTGTTTGGAAATAGTTGAAAATATATTGCATATGAATAATATGTTCACACTTCTGCAAAGAAATAAAAATACTTGAGGGAAGTGAGGCCATTTCAAAAGTCATGCTGTATTCTGCATTTAGAAAGAAAACTGTTCAAACCAAAGTGGGTTTTTTGACATTTCTTGTAAGCTAATATGCCAAATAGAAACATGATGTGAGTCAATGCAGTTACACACTCTTGAACTTCAGTGCTTGCTTTGGCACATCTCTCCTGCGCACATGAAGCCTCAGAAATCCTCGCTCTTCACCTGCTTCCAGGAGGGGATCTCCTGTCCTGGAAGGGGGTTTGTTTGTCTGTCAGCCTTAAAAGCAGTATAAATATATTTCCACCACTGGCATGGGCCAGCAGAGCGCTCTGTAAGTTTTAAGGTGTGCACGTAGACTCAATGTGATTGAAACGTGGAAATGAGTTCAAAACCATGCATGTATTGATGTAGCAATTGTCTCCTGAGGAGCAGTGTCTGGTTAACAGTCATTACTAGTAATACTATTTATTTTCTGTCTCCCTTCTTCCTGTGTTTGGATATGATCATTACTGGCTGTGCCTGGAATACACTTAACAGCTGTTCAGCTGTTTGCCCAGGTTGTCTCTGAAGCAGTCAGATGAAGGCTCCAGATGACCATTGTGTTCCAAAGTTGAGGTTTCTTATGCCTATAAAAATACCTTTGTAGTGGAAGTGGAATACAAAAACTGAATGAGCATCTGGTGTCCTGTCTTGGAAATATACAGGTTCAGATTTGATTTTCCTCTTTTTTTCTGAAACTTTTTAACTGAAACTTAGGCATGTTTTGAGGTTCTTGTTTGACTGAAGTGGAGGAACAACTTATGTGCCTGTCAGGGAGTGACCTGTGCCAGCCATCAGTTTGTGACTAGGTGGTGGAGGCAGCAATTAAGCACAGACTGAATTTACTGAATTTCTAACATATCTTGTCACACAATTGTATACAAAAGTAATATCAGTGGTTAACAATCATGTAATGACTGAATGCAGCACGATGAGGCCAAGGTTTTCTTGTAGACTGTAAGTATGACCATTGAATGATGTTCTTTATGCATCATTCTCTGTTTGTGGTACCTTTTTTAGGTGTTTGAGCACAGAAAAGTGTGGGGTAGTAGCTGTTTGCACAAGTCTTGATTCAAGCATTCCTTGGAGCCTGCAGTGCTGCCCAAGTCCTGAGAGCTGCAGCTTGCCCAAGGCCAGCACCAAATCCTGGTGCTCACCCAGGCCCCCTTTGTGCCTCTTTCCTTTCAAGATGGCCACAGTGCTTACTCAGGGTGTGGAACAGTAGGATGTGCTCATCCCACAGTGTTGCCATAGTCACTGTAGCCTTTAAAGCTGGATCCAAGGATCACAGAGTGGCTGTAGAAGTGTTGCTTTACTGCTCTGCCTTACCTGGGGTCACTGTACAGGAAAGTCAAACCCACTGAGATGTAATTCTTCTGTTGTTGGTTTTGCTCTTCTGGAAGGTAAAAGCCACCTCAGTCCTCTGTTCTTCACACCACCACATCTATGTAAATGCTTTGTGTTTCCTGGAGTAAGCAGCACTGTCTTATAATAACAGGAACTCACTTTATCCCACTGGTCAGTTTATTGTGGAGTGCATTGGTTGGGAGGCAGCAGTGATTGGATGGAAAGCAAGAGCACACTGAAGTGTTTATGAGCACAGGATGACAGACATGTTGGAGAGGTCTGTCACTCCTGAGCAGCTGAGCCAACTTACCTGTTGTGCTTGGAGCTTCACGTTTTGTGGATGATTAATTTCCACGGGAGGACAATTACATTTCTGGCTCTGAGCTGACAGGAGGCAATGCTGGCATTTTTTTTTTTTTTCTCCTTTAAGCTGGAGTGCTGAGAATATCTATTTATGTTTTCTTCTCTGCATCCTTCCTTCCCTTGCCCCCTTTTCTGTCTCCTGGCAGGCAGCAGTGTGGAGTTTGATTGGTGTGCTGTCTCCAGTATCCGCACGCTGCGTCAGCTTGGCAACAAGACCGTGGTCGTGAATTGCAACCCAGAGACAGTGAGCACGGATTTTGATGAGTGTGACAGACTGTACTTTGAAGAGCTGTCACTGGAAAGGATCCTGGACATCTACCAATATGAGGTAAAGAAAAGCAGAAGCACTATAAAAAGCCACGAAGCAACCCAAACTTTTCAAAATTCCTGTCACTAGCTTGGGAAGCAGCTGGGGGTGAGGGGAGAGAGCAAAAGCTGTTTGCTTTGGATCCCCATGTTGCATTTTACACATTGCTGATGCTCCTAGCAGGCTGCTCAATAAAGAATGCCAAATAAATATGAAATTATTTTGCAAGATGCCATATTGTGCAATATTTACAAACAGGCTTAATTTGCTGCACAGACATTTATCACACAAACTCACACTGCTGGGCCTTAGCAGTTAAGCACACCCTTGATTTGAAGCACAAGTCCTCCACCTGGAGCAGTTGAAGGAGTTCAGTGCATCACACCAACATGTGCTCAAGAATTTGTAGGCTTGGCCTTGCAGTGCAGTTGGCAAGTGCATGTGGTCCAGCATACAGGCAGGCAGACCGGGGAGGGGCATTGGAATTGCCATCCATAAAACCATAAAACGTTCCAGCTCCTGATTTGGACATTGCACTGGTGTTTTAGCAATTTTCAAGTGTTCATAAGTGCTGATCTAAGAGATGGAGGAGAGTCCCAGACATATTTGATGATGAGGGGATATATAATGTAGACAGTTTGCCCCAACATCGAAAAATGTTGATTTCTAGTGGATAACACGCTCATCTTGGATTTGTTGCTGAGGCTTTTAAAGGTGCTTTCAGGAACTTCATTCACCCTGAAATTCTGCATGAATTGGCCATGTAACTTGCTGAAGCAACTTTGCAGAATCCAGATCATGTTAAACTTGTGATTTTTCTTGACTCTTTTTCCTGGTATATGAGGATCTGAGCTCATCTCCTTTGTGCAAATTTCTAAAATGGTTTTATAATCTGGCCATGTTTTGATCATTCCCAAATTTGGAACCAGGCCAAAGCACATCAGAAATCAAGTCCCAGATTCTAGGCTCTGTTCTTCAGCCATTTGGAAAGCACTGTCTATGACCATTTTTAGATTGCATGTTCATACTTTCCTGTTTGTACAGGTTGTTTTAAATTTTTGTGAAAACAGAGACACTACTGGAAAACATAGATTTTCAAGGGGCCAAAGACTCTGGTGGCTCTCTGGACTCTTAAAGGCTGATTTTTGGATGCTTTAGGATTATCCATGAGGCTCAGCTCTAAAAGCTGAACTCTTGTTTACTTAACAGAACTGAACTTCTGAGCAGGGGCGTGGAGCAAACTGGTGTGACAGTTTGTCAGACAAATAACACTGATGAAATACAACATCTAATTACTGCAGGATCAAAGAGAAGGTGGAGATAGGTGATGAGGGAGCTCATTTCCACATGGAGTGCTAGTAATTAGCAAGTTGGGCAAGAAAAATATGTGCAAAGAATACCGAATACATATTGAAACTTGTATTATCCTGCTTGTCAGAGCAAGGCTTGGCCAGTTTGAAGGGGGGCAATGCAGATCTCCAGGTCTAATAGCAGCATCCTGTCATACCCAGGGTTTGCAGAGGACTTTGCTACTCTGGCTTGGGTGTGAAAACAACCAGCTTGATTTTTTGCTGAAGGTGTGCAAGCCATCAGAGCCTGAGCTAAACATCTAAAATCAGTGCTGTACTGTCTAATGATTCCCATGGTGGATAGTAAATACAAATAGTAAAACCACTTGTCTTCAGCAGCAACATAAGGTAATGGCATTATTATGCCTAATTTGCAAGTAGGGAAACTGAGGAGTAGATAGGGCTGCACAGAGTAATGCAAAAGAAGCTAGGCAGAGCTGGGGACAGGGCCCAGACCTCCACCTAAGTGCAGTCTAAGATACATTATTTGTTATATGTCATTTCTTTAGAAAAATGAGTGAGCCAAATGCTAATGTCCTGTTAAGAGAATTCTTCCTCAGGCAAATGCAGTTGGCATTCAGCCCCTAAGAAAAAGATCAAGTTAAAAATGAATCTGATTCTGAGATCCTTCACCAATCCTGTAGATAGCCATTTCTCCCATCTTCATATACAGAGCATGAACAGTGTCATGATTTCAGACTGTTCTTTTACCCTCTCCTGGTCATTTGCCTCCTCTGGTGTTTGAATGGACAATGAACTGTTGTAAATAACTGAAATGTCATGGATCATTGGCAAACTGTATATAAAACCATCAGCAAACAGTGGACAAGGCCCTGAACCCCTAGTGGAGATGATATTCCAGCTCCCTAAACATTGTTAGGATTAGCAGCAGAGCCTGGGCAGCTGTTAAGCCCAAGTGAATAGGTGCACTGGTTTGTCCCTGCTTTTCTGATCAGATAAATTAGGCTGCATCAAGGAGAGAGTTTACCAACAGCACTGAGACAGCTGCAAGCTGCCCACCAAGAAATGCTCACAGCTCCACACAGCCCTCTCCCAGGGATGTGCTCAGCTGTCCCCCCTCTTTCTCTTCCTTGTGTCCTCTTTAACCTCCAGGTGACATTCCCAGCTGCAGTGACTCACCAGAGTCTGAGCTCTGCATAACAGAGCTGTTCATTGGAGGAAAGTTTAATTTACTGAGAATGTGCAGAGTTAGGTGGTAGTCTGTTAGGACAATAATTTAAAAAAATAAATAAAATTCCTTCCCTCAGATTTATTGTTTTTTTTTTTTTTTTTTCCAGAGATGTTCCCTTTTTATTTTAATATCTGTCTGCTTGAGGGCCTCTACTGATTCTTTTTTCTGTTTCAGAGATTATTCTGAAACGATTCATAAAAGTAAAGGAGGCTCCTAGGTACAATTTTAATGGTCTAATTTGTTTTCAAACTCAGGGAAAAAGAAACCCCAGCTCTATTACTAATGACATAACAGCAAGATAGTAATAAAAAGAGTGATTTTTGTTATAAAGGGGAAAATAATTCTCTCTAGGCTTCTCTCACTAGATTATGTATTGCGTGTATTTTAACGATATCTAATGGCAAGGATGTTATTAATTTTCTTTATAATTAAAATATGGCTGATGACAAAGCGATATGCAGTGGGGTCCCTTTCTGCCTGCCCACATTTCTCAGTGGAGCAGTCGTGTTCCCTGTCAGGACAGTGGTTGCTCTTTGGGTGGGAACATGCTTTAGGAAACAACAGCAGAATTTTAAAGTAAAGAAGTAAGCAGCAGCTAGATTCAATTTATGGTTCTTCTTGAGTAAAAATGATTATGTGATTCTTTGCTATCTGCTTGAAAAAGGAACCTCCTCTGTCTCCTTAGGGCTGAAGTCTCTAATTCTATCCGAGCTTTGATGCAGGCAGTGTTTGGGTTTCAGATGTGCAGTAACTAGAATTGTTTTAAAGGCAGAAATGAGCAGCAGCTGAGGAGAAGCTGTTAGCTGGGACACATTTCACATATGTCAAGGATAGATTAAGATGTTGGTTGACCTTGGAAGTAAAGGTACTTTGACTTGTTACCCTCCTTCCCAGCTGCAAAGAGGGTTTGCTTAGTCACACTCTGGTTCTTATCCTTGTGGGGTGACAAAGAACCCAGGGACTAGAGGGAGTTACTCTGGTTTGGATGGGTCTGGAAGCACTAAGGCATAGATTTCTCTTCCAAGCTGGAGATGGTGAGCTCTGATGTCATGAGCTGCTTTTGGGCACAAAACAGCCCCTGTCCTTTTTCACTGCCTGTCCTAAGCTCTTTCACATGGTTGCTGTTGGCCAGCAGTATCATGGCATCCCATAAGTGACTGCATAGTGAAAAGGAAAAAAATAATCATCTCCTGCTGTGTATTAGCCTGCTGAGCAAATAACCTTGGGCTGGTAAGTGCTGCTTAAACGCCAGCCTGTTGGATCTTTATTATGGTAGGAAATTCCCACATCAAAGCTGAGTGGGGACTGTAGTAGCATTTATCATCGATTTTTACCAAGTCACTTATAGTCCATTCTGCTCTCAGTTTACAGTTTTGCCACTCCAAATCCCTTTAAATCCCTGATGAAGGAATTCCTCTTTCAGGAAGGCCAGTGAGGCTGACCTTCTTCAGGAAAAACACACTTGTTAATTAAAAGAACATTGTTCCTCTATCCTTTAGAGCCAAACCATGGATCACTTGCTTTATGTTTCTCATTTGTTAGAAGTGGATAAAACTGTAAAACACATTTGGTTCAAAAGAGCCCTTCACTGGAGCTGTTCTGTGGGCCAGATTGTCCTTTGGGCAAAGTTTCTCCAGCTTTAATTTGAAAGTAAAGTGCTCTTTGTTGTAGGTACTCTAAGGCCTTTTCTTCTACTGAACATTTTCACACCTGACTAGATTCTACTTGAAAGCATTAGGGATTCTATGTAAAAAGAAAAAAAAAGCCCATATTTACACCTGTAGAAAGGTGTGTGTTAGCAAGCAAGATCACCTGTTTCTTGTTATTTACTGTTTATTATTTTCTCACTTAAAATGAGATGCTGCCCAGTGACAGACATGAAATGCTCCACTGTGGCTGGAGGATGCTGTGCCACCTGCTCTGCCCTATCTACCTCTGGAACTGGAGTGCTTGCAAATAACCTGTGTGCAAATGTACACCTATGACAGTCTGCTGAAATACTCACTGCCATCCAGGGCACTGCCAGCAATGAGAAGCTAGTCAGGAATAAGGAGCATTGATCAACACAAAGGGCTAAGTGCATCCATAGCTTTGCAGACTGTATGAAGTGTTGGGCTCTGTTGATTTATGCTCTGCTTAGCTTTGTTACACTCCTTAAAGACTGGCTTCTGGGGCTAGCAAAGGTGGTTTGCTTACTGAGTAGCAGTGCTGGCAGTTAAAAAACCCCATAAATTCCAGTTGTTTCTCATTGCCTCTCTGCTGGATGTTACTGCCTTGCATCTCTGGAGTAAAAAACAACTTGCATGAATGTCTGCTCCTCTGAAAATCTCTGACCATGAGCACGGGAGAGGCTGCTTTCTCCAAGAGCTAGGCTGAGAAAGAGAGACCTCAGCATCTTGTTTGTTTGTGCTGCTGGGTGCAAAGGCCACAGCAAGCAGAGGGGGCAGGCTCAGCTGCGGTGAGTCCCCATGTGCAGGAGCACATGGGAAGGAAACCTGACCTCACAGGGCAGAGAATTGGGATTTGTTGGTGTGCAATGCATGTTCCTAGTGCAGTGCCCTTCCCCTGGAAAGTGAGGCAACGTGTGTCAGCTCAGTGCTTTGTCCTCACTAGGAAAGCAGAAGCACCTAAACGTGACATGCAGACAAAGTAACAGCCTGTGGTTCAAGCAGGACTTAGGGAATCGTGGGTTGATGTGAAAGCTGCAAACTTCTCTGGTTCCCTAGGGAATTTGACCTCCAGTTATTGCTGGGTTTTAGGTGATATTGAGGAAGATGTTTCTGGTTTAGGGAGGACACACACTGCAAATCACACTTTGCAGCCTGGGTGCCACTGGATCAGAACAATTATGATAAAATCATAGAATGGCTTGAGTTGGAAGGGACCTTAAAGATCATCTAGTTCCACTCCCCTGCCATGGGCATGGACACCTTCCACTGTCCCAGGCTGCTCCAAGCCCCGTCCAGCCTGGCCTTGGACTCTCCCAGGGATGGAGCAGCCACAGCTTCTCTGGGCAACCTGCACCAGGGACTCACCACCCTTGGAGTAAAGAATTTCTTCCTAACATCTAACCTAAATCTCTCTTTTTCCAGTTTTAAACCATTTATCCTTGTCCTATACCTATCTGCCCATGTAAGCAGTCATTCTCCTCTTTTTTAGTAAATTCTCTTTAGGCTCTGGAAGACTGCAGTAAGGTCTTCCTGGAGCTTCTCTTCTCCAGGCTGAACAGTCCCATCTTTCTTAGCCTGTCTTCTCAGGAGAGGTGCTTCAGCTCTCTGATAATCTTTGTGGCCCTATGATCTGTCTTTGTTCACAGCAACCTGAAAAGGGACATAACCTAAATATTGGATTTGTGTTGTGACAGCTCTTCCTATTAAGATAACTTGAACGTGACCGTGCTCCTTTCTGCCTTCCAATAGGGATGCAGTGGCTGCATTATTTCTGTAGGTGGGCAGATTCCCAACAACCTGGCAGTACCACTGCACCAGAGTGGAGTGAAGATTCTTGGCACAGATCCTTTAAAGATTGACCAGGCAGAAGATCGTTCCATGTTCTCAGCCATCCTGGATGAGCTGCACGTGGCCCAGGCTCCCTGGAAGGCAGTCAGCACACTGGTAAGTTGGGATGTGCACCTGGGAAATGCTGAAGCAGCTGGAGGTTGGGATATGCATCTGCTCATCTTGATGCATTTCAAGATTTTGAAGGCATTGGACAGTTTTTTACTGCTCATGTTGAAGAACTTCTTGATCCCTGTGAAGTGATGCTGCAGCAGCACTGGCAGAGGGTGGGAACTGAAAGGGAAGTGTCTTTAAACCACCTCAACAACCTGGGGTAAATACCCAGCAGAAGTTAGCACCACTGGCAGGCTGGTCTAGGCATCTGCTGGGCTTGAGGTCTGCTCTAGCAGGTGGAGATTGCAAAGGAATAGAGATGTGTTGGCATTGCTCTTTTTGCCCAGTGAAGCTCTATGGACAGGGGAGGATGGAAAGTGCCAGCTCTGAAACCAAAAAGTTTAATTCAGTGTAATTTGTGTTACATTCAGTGCAGCCTGCAGCTTCCAGCTTCTTTCCCCTCATCTTAATTGCTAGTAAAATGCAAATGCAATTAGAATTGGAATTTTGGAATGACTTTAAAATATTTTCTTGTTAACAGCATGTTTTTCCTCCCTTTATTTAGAGAGATGCAGTTGAATTTGCAAGGTCTGTGAGTTACCCATGCTTGCTGAGGCCCTCCTACGTTCTGAGGTAAGGTTCAGCTGTCAGAGCTCAGCAATGTGGGGTATGAACTCCAAAAACCTCTCTGAGACAAGGGAGCACAGCTTCAGGGGGTGTGTGGGAAACTCTGTGCTAGGTGTAAGTGGCATTAAGCTGCCCATGAGACAACTGCTCCAACCAATGAATAAAGCCAATGGATCCCTGAAGTCCATCAGGCACAGATCAAAGGTAGAACATAATCATAAGAATCTCTGTTCAGCTGTATTACCTCTTGCATATCTCAAGGCCAAAACCACAAACCATCTGGGATATTCTTTCAGGTTCCTGAGATTGTTGCCTTTACAATTAAGTCAGAAGATTGTTTGCCACCAGGAAAAAGAGAAGGGAACCTGCTGAGGCTGTTTATTGAGATGGGCATCTGTTTTCAGAAAATGACAGTGCATCTTTTGAGTTCAGCTTCTTATTTGCCAAGCTTCTCTGCTTACAGACATGTTTTATGTCCCTACACTGTGGCAGCTGCTTCTCATTAAACAGACATTGTACAGAGTCCCTCATTTCCAGCAGCCAGACAGACTTTTTGAGGAGGTTACACCAGCACATGCACACAGCAAACTCACAAGTTCTGAATGATTGCTCTTCTCTGTGAGAAGTTTGTTCACAGCTGAGTGACTCAGCACAGAGAGGCAGTTTGCTGGGCACAGTTTACAAGTGAAAATAAATTGGAGACAGGATCCTTTTCATATGAAAGACACACATATCAAAATGAAGAAGCTCAATGTCAGTTTTCAGGGCTGGGGGACAAGCACAATTTTTATTTTAAAAGAAGAAAAGGAGAGGGGTTTCTTCATCCCTGAAGGAAATATCCTTTAGAAGCAGCTCCTGAATGTGACTTTTCTATCTGGTATCTAAGACTTGCAGTAGGGTTTCAAGCAGAGTTAGAAAACAGCTCTCCTGTCAGGAGTAAAGTTGAGTATAGTTAAGTATAAGGTAACAACTGCTCCTGATGTAATTCTCCAGATATTAAGGAACACTTCTTTTAGCCTGTTGTTTCCATCTGTATTAAAACCATAAGCCCTTTCTGTGTTAAGTATTTGCTAATGTGTGTTAGTGCAGGGTAGGGGGACTCCAGGGAGAAAGATGAAATTGGAGGATATAAAGCTTGAGGAATGAGAGTGTGAAAAGCCCTAGCAGAGTTCTCTGCCTGGCCTCTGTCTGCAGAACAGCAGCAGTCCACAGCTGGATTTCTTCATCCTCTGAGCAAATATGACCTTTAATACTGGCCAGTTTCCTTGGAAAATGGAATGCCTTTCCCCATCAGTTAGGTACCAGCTCACATCCTCAGTGGTACTATTGACACAAGTTCATGGATTTATTGAACTCTATTGATTTACATCAGTCCAAGAGGTTAATATAATCACATAGGTACCTGTGTATATTTATCTTAGGATAAAGTGACTGATTTGTGGGATACAGCCTTTTTCCTCTTTGCCCCACAGCCTCTGTGGACTTGCCCAACAAAGCAAAGGGGAAGCTGGGCATCAGTGGTAGAAATGGGAAATGTAACATCTTTTTTTTTATAAGAGTCTTGTCTTTAAAAAGGACTTGAATCACACACTCTGGACCCATGTTCTCCCAGATCCCCTTCTCTGATATTACTGGCAGTTACAATTGAAGCAGCTTTCAGATATCTGCTGTACTGTGCCCACTCCCTTAAAGAATGAGACTTAAGGGGAGGAGCACAGAGAAACGGCCAGCAAAGAGCAGCCTGTTTGCATCTGGGTTTACACTGTCACAAGCATTGCCAGTGACCCTGGCAAGCCTCACTTCATCTGTCCCTGAGGAGCAATTGGGCTGAAGTGAGCCAAGTGTCCTTGTCCTGAGCTCCTGGGGGAAAGTCTGGGCCTTACTGGGGCTGGGTGGCTGAGCAGCCATCTCCCCCAGCTTAGGGGACCTTCAAGGGCTTGGCTCAGGAAGGGCATTTGGCAGCAGAGATAAGGCTGTGGAAACACAGATCTTTCTTTATTCCTCCACTGTGGTTCTGGAGGTCTCCTGTCTCCTCTGGGAAGGATAATGGAGGGTAATTTGGTATCACCTCTGCCTCTGTCTGAGTCAAGAGCTGAGCAAGTGGCTGGAGTCAGGAGCTTCCTTGGCTAGTGTGTCATGCAGAGGTAGTTGGTAACCTTGTGAACCCTGTGCCCTGCTGTCTGACACTGATTCTGCCCTAGAATTCACAAGGGAGGCTGACCTGGGTTCTCTGCTTTGCTGTTCTCACAGTGGGTCTGCAATGAATGTAGTATTCACTGAAGAGGAAATGAAGAAGTTCTTAGCAGAAGCCACCAGAGTCTCTCAGGTACCTCTTTGTGCTGCCAGTTCCTTCTGTGTTCCCCTTATTTGTTTCATCTCCACTGTGGTTTCTATCTCTTTGTTTCCTTATTGTGTCTTCCTCACTCGTTTCCTTCTTTGCCTGGGGAGGAGACAGTTTGAGTCCTCAGTTTGTTCCCTAACAGAAAATATAAAATATCCTTACTGACCCACCAGGATGCCTGCATGGAGTAGGAAGAGCTGTTTTACCTGCATGTACATTTCTGACCAGTTAATTATGTAAATAGATGTAGTCCTCTGAGCTGGGACCCTTCCAGGCTTGCCAGTGGCAGGTTATGCCAACCAGCATAGAAATTGGAGCATCTTTCACTTAGTTTGTCAATTGTTGTGCCTGGCTTTTTTGAACAACTAAATACTTCATCTTGGCATCTCTTCTGAAGGTTTTTTTTTTCTTTTTTAAATTTTTTTAAATTTTGTTATGTTTTGTGGTTTGTTTTGTTTTTTGTTTTAATGGTCACTGTTCAGAACAGGACTGTGGCACCATAAGCACTGCTGTCCCAGGAATCTTGGAGTTAAAAATTAATGAATCAAAGAGGAGCTAACTCTCTGAAAACACAACTGGCTGGGGAAGTCAGACATATTTCTGCTTTCTCAGGATTCTTAAGTGTTTAAAGCTTGAACAAAACTATGAGCTTTTGAAGTGTGTGAGGCAAATGGTACAAGTTTAACTTTTCAACAAGAAATGGTGGAATGAAAGGGAGATGAATTGAATGATTGCTGATACTCTGATACCTTTCAGAGTAATAATATCCTGAAGGATAGCTTAGTGTGGGGGCAAGGAGACCACTTATTACCATCTTTGAACAAGTTTTAGAGGGGTAGTGTAACTGTTACTTCCATCAGAAGGAATTCTTTGGCTATTCTCAGAAGACTATGGGGTCAGCCTGTGGTAGTGTACAGTTCTTAGCAGTGCTGGGCCTCCCAAAATCCCAAACTCCCCTCTGTACTTCATCTGAAGCACTCTGCTTTGTGTTTACACTCACAGAAGCAGCGCAGGCAGCAGCCTTAAGCCCCATTCAGTGGGACTGATCACTTTTTGGGTGCTGGGTGGCTTTGTGGTGGCCCTAGAGGAGGCTCTAGCCCAGAAAAGACCCCATGTCAGCCTAATTTGTCACAGCTTGGCTGACTTGAATTGGGCAGTGCTGTTCTTTGCTTGTGAGATGTCTCATCCCTGGTGCAGGAGGCCTTTCTGGGAGCTGCATTTGTTGCGTCTAGCCAATAAATGACATATTCCTAGGGGAAGGAGAGGGTGTTCCCGTAGATTATCCTTATGATATCCAGTTCTGTTACACACACAAGGCACTCCTGCTGACTGCAAAAATGACCACTTGCATACCATGAGGTTTTGGGTGCTCTGGTTCTGATTCTGAAGAGACTTACCCTAGATTTACATGCTGTTTTTTTCCTAGTGTAGTCAGACTGCCAAGGGAAAAACTTCTTCATCCAGTATTGTGTATTGACAAAAGCCATGGTATAGTTGAAGCCAAGCTAGCAAAAAGCAAACCAGAACAAAATTGTAGTGTTCTGTTTTTACATTAGGGAGGATTTTTCAGTCTTGTCAGGGCTTTGTGGCCTATGAGTGGTTCCACAGAAGCTCCCAGTATTAGTTGTGAGCATCATTTGTGGGACACAGGCTCAGTTTTTCTGGTTCCAAAGCCTGACTTAGTTCTGCTTCATCCAGAAGAACTCCTCCAGGAAAGGCCCTGGCTTGTTCTTGTTCTGTTGTTTTAATGCCTTTGCTGTTTCAGTGTTGTGTCATTATGGCATTTATGTTGTCAATAATGTTCAAAGCTTCTAATGCAGGTTGAGACAGATTGAAGTAAACAAGGTTGTGTTCACATATAAAATCTTCAGGTGAAAAACTGCAGCAAGACAGAAAGTAACAGGACACAAGCCACTAAATTTATGAAACAGTGTAGGCTTCAGCGTTGTCCTTGCCTGTGAATTTACCCTTGCACTGATAAATGGAAGAAATTGTGTCTTGTAACTTTTGGACTTGCTTGGTATTTTTTCAAGACGAGCCTTTAAAACATGCACAAACTGTCATTTATTTCATTTTATTCTCTAATAAATAATAGGCAGTTAATAGTGGATGGGACAGGTAAAATGTTGAGACACAAAGCTGGCCAGGAAGAATGCAGATTAGAGGTTTTTTGAAGCAAGTGTCTGGAAGGAGAAAGTGTTAGAAGAGAGTGGAGGTGTGTGCTAGCATCCCAGAGACAGGCAGGAAGAAGAGGAAGGAAAACAGCTACCAGGGAAGGTAGTGAGGGTCAAGGGCAGGTTGTTCCTGGCTAGATATAATTAGTGGCAACCTCTCCCTGGGAGACTTAGGAAACCAGGCAGAGAAAGTAGAAAGGAATGGGTCAATTGCATAAAATATATGACTGTAAAATAGCAAACAACCACTCTACAAAGTCATTAGGAATGCCAAGGATCAGTTCCTCTGTGAAGCACCACGTCCAGTGAGATGGCTGGGAGGCTCAGACAAGGAAGAATTGAAGACATTGGAGTTAAGGGCTGTCTCTAGGAGATGGGATTAGAGGTCATTCGTTCCATGCATGTCTTATTAACTTCTTTGTGCCATAACCTCTATGGTTTTGCCCCAAATTTCCCTGTTCTGGTGTTGTTATAGAGAGCTCAAACTTTTTTGCATCAGTGGTTTTGGGGAAACTGTGCAAAGTTTCCCCCACTATATCTTTGCAAAGTTCACTTATCTGTGGAAATGAGGATATTAATAGATTGTTCTTCTGGTTTTTTGCTTTCAAAGGGTCCTAGGTGGTCTACAAATACTCTTAAAAAACTTTGATTTTTTTCTTGTCTTGATGGCAGGATTACCCTGTGGTACTCACTAAATTTATTGAAGATGCCCGTGAGGTGGAAATGGATGCTGTAGCCAAGGCAGGAAGAGTGAGTACTTTGCTTTTCTTTAATATTAAACTTATTTTTTCAGGACCTGAGATCTGCAAAAATGTGTAATTTGAATGATTTACTACAGGGCCATGGATTCATGCTGAGGCGAGTAAAGAAACAAGAAGAATTAATCTTAGGCTCAAAACTGTTGTGCTTTAGAAGCTCCACCTCTCTGATTGTATACATCTAACCAGTTATTTTTTAAGCATTGCTTATCCATTAAATGAATACTTTTGAATATAGTTTTTACCAGATTTGCAAATCACTGCCTTCAGAAATGACTTTCTTCAGAATTTTATCATGGGTTATGGAATTACCACAGTAAATTAAATGAATACTTTTGAATATAGTTTTTACCAGATTTGCAAATCACTGCCTTCAGAAATGACTTTCTTCAGAATTTTATCATGGGTTATGGAATTACCACAGTAATTCCTTTTTTTTTTTTTTTTTTTTTTTTTGCAATTTTGTCTTGCCTTTCATTACTCAGCAAAGGCAAAAAAAAATCACAAAGTTCACAATTAACAGAAATAATATTTTTTTCAATTTTAATTTTTAACCAGCAGACACAATCACTTTTTTGGTATTGAGGTTGTATGCCTTGATGCAGTTAATTAAATATAAATCCTTAGGCCTGGATTTCCTCTGTTTGCTTAAAACAGCAGAAAAGAGAGGGTGTAAAGTTATATACCAGTGATGTTAGTTCATGCTTGTTCCTGTTGGGGGATGATGACTTCTCTGTGTTCTGGCAAGCAGAACTTAAAAAAGCTAGTTTAAGCTGATAAAAGCTTAGCTTTCACCTTCTGAGTCCACATGAATTAGAGAGAGGAAGGAAGCCTTAGGAACTCCAGGCTGTGGTAGGTTTAGTTGTGTTCTTGATTTGCTTAACCATAATAGCAAAGACACTGATGTGGTCTTGTTCATATGCCTGGTGTCTGCTTCAGGCATACTCTCCCCAAAGTTTTAGGAAATTCACTTTTTTCCCCCCCTCTATCTGTATCCTTTTTCAGCCACAGTTCTGCTCAGGAGGCTGGGCTGTGCTGGGAGGAAGGAGCAATTTCTGAGAGGGCAGAGTGACCAGTTAGTGTATTTGCAGGGTGCCCCAATGAAAGAAGGAAGCATGAATCTGACTCCATGTTCTCAGAAGGCTAATTTATTATTCTATTATACTATATTATATTGAAGAACACTATACTAAACTATGCTAAAGAATAGAGAAGGGATACTTACAGAATGCTCAAAAATAATAATGAAAACTCATGACTCTCTCCAGAGTCCCGACACAGCTTGGCCCTGATTCACCATTGAGTCAAAACAGTTCACACCAGAAACCAATGAAACAATCTCCAAACACATTCCAAAGGAGCAAAACACAGGGGAAGCAAATGAGATAATTGTTTTCCTTTTTCTCTGAGACTTCTCAGCTTCCCAGGAGAAAAATCCTGGACAAAGGGATTTTTCAGAGAATGTGAATGTGACAACCAGTGAGTGCTCTCTCCTTGCTGTGTGCAGGTCATTTCCCACGCTGTCTCAGAGCATGTGGAGGATGCAGGTGTTCACTCAGGAGATGCCACCCTCATGTTCCCCACACAGACCATCAGCCAGGAAGCCTTGGAGAAGGTGTGTGTTGCTCTAGCACTGAAAAGAGAAAAGGAAAGGAGGGTTTGACTCTGCTTTCCCTCTACCACCAGTGGAGAAATCAAATCACCAATGGTTTTATTAAGGCCAGGGTGGTGTGCAAGTAAAGGATGTCAGTGTGCCCCTGTGATTTGCTTGATCTGAACTGTATCCCAGTAATTTAAACTGTGTACACTTTTAGACCCACAGGATTTTTTTGTTTCCTTGGTTTAGAACCAGCTTCTGTAGCAGTAGATGATTGTCTAATTCATACATAAGGCATGGTTCTCTTTCCACTTCCTTTTCTCCCACAGTACTTCAGTGATTATGTCAGAGGTATGACTTTCTATCTGCCTGCTTTTCCTAAAATAATATCAGGATGAATGAACCTCACCTAATCTTGACTTTTTCCCCTTTCAAGAATAAACAAGAGTTAGTTGTTAAGTTCCATTTTTTAAATGAAATGTGCCATGCCCCTTTATGTTAGGGGTTTGCTTGGAAGCCAGCAAAAGCTGTAATGCAATGATCTGTGCTCCAGCTCTGTTTCCAAGAATGTCCAAAGTCTTGTTTCTGAAAATAGCCATCTCCTGGAGCCAAAGCTATTCAAATCCTTGTATTGACACACCTGGGAAATAAGGCTTTCCTCCCACTTTGTTCCAGAGTGTACCTACTCAGACACTTCCCACTGATCTGTGATGGCATAGGCATCTTGGTGAAAGACTTTCAGGACACTTACAAAACTGATTAGTTATTCTCAAATAACAAACCATTATTCATTATGTCACCAAGAAAGGTATCAAGACTCCAGTGTGCAGTGTAGGAATTACTACAGGGCAAGGCTTTGATTCTTTGTTTTTCTCCTTCTCCTCCCTGCTTTCTGACACACACAAAAAACCTGATTTTTACTTCTGCCCTCAAATGGCACTTCAGGCTCTAGGTTACTAGGGAAATTAAACATGTTTGCTTCTGAAATAGTGCTATTGCCAAAATGTGGGTTTAGAGAAAAAAACAAGGCAGAGAGAGATGGTGTTTAAAGAAATCCACCAGTCTAGTGATTTATTGCCATGATGCTCTCTATTTTGTGGAACTTAATTATTTATTATATATACACATATTAACACTTTCTAAATTTGTTTTTTTTTAACAGATAAAAGCTACAACAAAAAAGATTGCCAAGGCTTTTGCCATCTCTGGTCCATTCAATATCCAGTTCTTGGTGCAAGACAGCAATGTGCTGGTAAGAGCTGCAGTGAGTGTGGCAGGGCCCGTGCTGTGGGTCCTGCATCTCTGCTGGGACATGGTGGCAGTGGCAGCCAGGGCACTAACCTGCCTTGGCAGAGGGTGTGGGCTCGGGTCAACCTTGGTCTCACAGCTCTCCCTGCCTGTGTGGCAGAGAGAATCCTCCCCTGCTTTCACACTGAGGGTGAAGAGAGTCTGCCTGCTTTGTCTGTCAGCTGTGTTTTACTGTGGGCTGCTGTCCTTCCCAAAATTGTCAGTTTGGAATAGGATGGCCAGCACTGGGACCTGCACCTCATCCCATATACTGGATCTCATGGCTTTTAGATCTCCAATATCTTCTCCCAGATTTAACTATTTTGATGTTGAATTAAGCCTTCAAAGGGATTGAAAAGAAAGCAAGACAATGCAAGTGTTTAAACCTTTACTATAAGCTATTAGGATGGTTATCTGAATGGTCCCTGTAGCTATTAGCAACAGAAGTACAGCAATGTGTGACCCTTTCTGGGTAACACTTGGCTTTCTGTTGCTAATGGAAGGAGGTCAGAGGAATGTGAACAGAGGATGACTGAGGATACAGTGAATAGGAAGAAAACCTGACAGGAAGCAGAAGAAATGCATTATTGGTAAAAAAGTCCTAAATTTGGGCTATGAGTTGAGTAAAATGTACTTATTGTTCTTCACCTTTTCTCTGTTTCACACATGGTTATTCAGAACTCCACAGAGAGAGAACAGAGTTTTCCCTTCCTTGCTTTCCCACAGTGGTGCCTGTCTTTCTCTGTACAGCCCTTGCTCTTCAGTTGTACCTTCACTATTCCTCCCCCCTTTCACTCCACTTCATTCTCACTTCCAGCAATTCCTCTTCTGCTCTTGAGCTCCAAGGTGCAGAACTTCTTTGGTACTTCCCTGCCTGGCTGAATGGCTGCCACATGTGGGTGAGGGAAGCCAGTAAGGACAGTCCTGGAGTTCAGGAAGTGCCATCACCATGGGAAAAGAACAGGTTGGGCTTCTGGAGGTTGTTCCTAATGCCTGTGCATATGTTTCCTCTTGCACATTAACTTAGGCTATAATAAAGCACATTTTCTGAGTGAAGTCTGGTTCCCCTCAGCTCTAATATTCAGGCAGTAGACATGGATCTCAGCTGCTTGTATCTCAGGCTGGCCATTCCCCACCTATTGCTTTGTTCTTTTAAAGTTCTAAGTTTTTTGGGGTTTACATTTTTGCAATGGAGTTTTTCGTGCACTTTTCATGTAAATAATAATTGGTTTGCATTCCTTCTGGAGGAAGAGAAAATTGATAAACTGTTGGATTGACCAGTGTGGTTGGAGAGGTAGCAATTTCATCCTCCAATTCATGGTCACTTTAGAATTCTACAAATATCAAAGTCCAGAAATAAATGTGCCTTCTTTTGCTTTGGACATCTCAGCATGTGTCGTTCATTTTGTGTCGTATTGTGACACCCGCCCCTCTTCCCTGTTTTAATAATGATCCCAATTTCTGTGTTTCTTATTTGACAGTCTGAAGAATATGTCTGCCAAGAGGACTCAGGGCTGATTTCAACAAATATGAATCAATGTGTTTTTTCCCAGTGCCTGACCCTGCTATTTCTCTTTTTTTATCCCACCAGGTGATAGAGTGCAACCTGAGGGCCTCACGCTCCTTCCCCTTTGTATCCAAGACTCTGGGGGTGGACTTCATTGATGTGGCCACTAAAGTGATGATTGGGAAAGAGGTTAAAGAGTCATCCCTCCCCACAATGGAACACCCCATTTTGCCATCCAGATATGTTGGGATTAAGGTATGGTTTCCAAAAGAACCACAGGAACCCCACCACAGAGCCAGCACGTAGCACATTATTTAATACCCGTCGAAAACAATTTACTCATTGGCCAAAGGTCAAATTGACCTTTTGTAGTTTCTGTCAAGATAATCTGTTTTGAAACTTTAGAGAAAAATCAGAGCAAAGTTATCCTGTGAAACCAAGTCTTCCTTTATTTTTAGCATCTAACCTGCTCTGAATCCTGTTTATGAACTGCATAATAAATGAAAATTGCAAGTGTAAATTTTCATTTACACTTGCTGAGTTGAACACTGAAGTTCAGGCTATTTCCTAATACTATATAATACACGTGGGGACATGCACAACTTTGTGTTGTGGGTGCCCCCACATTTTATCTGCAGGATCTGGGACACGGGCTGTCAAATCCACATCATCCCCTTGATATAAACCTCTGGTTAAATTAGGGGTGGAAGTCTTGCATCCTGTGGTTTCAGTAAGGCCAAGGTTTTACTTTCCATAATTGCTAAGCTTGTATAGCACCCAACATTGTAAAATGTGTGGTAGATATGTTTGAATGCTTAGTGGAAGGAAAAAAAATGTAATCATAAAAAAAATCTAGAACAGTGGTGCAGAAAATCCAAAGGATAATGAGAATTGTTTATACAGAAACTTTCAAGCTCTAATAGCTTCCATATAAAGTGAAAGCTGAGGAAGCAGAAAACATCTAACATCTTTCTACTAATAAAATGTTCAGAACTATTAAAATGCAAGCCAAATTTATGTCCCAAGCTAGCCAGTATAGATATATCTTTACATTTTATTTTGATGCCACAGACAGGCATTATCCAAAATTCAAACTTGAGACACTTTTTTTTTTTTTTTTTTTTTTTTTTTTTTTTTTTTTTTTTTTTTTTTTTTTTTTTTTTTTCTTGTAGATTATGT